GCAATGCTGTGATGAATAACCCTTTGTCAATATTAATAAAAGTTTGATGATCATGATTGAATTATGTGTTACCTTATTACTAAATTTAGTGATTACTAAATTTAGTGACTATGAAAGATGCTAAGTTCCAGAATTTAACTTTTTGAATTGAATTTTTATATCTCTAAGTGGAACAATTATGTATCTGTGCCCCAGGCCCATATTTCTATTACTTGCTGGCTGTTTTTGTCTTGTCACCTAAAATATGTAAAATCAGATTTCTATATTCCATCCCCCACCCCAATAAAAACTACATTCAAGAATCATTATCTCACCCATGTTTGTCACCACCTCTCTTCCCCCCATATCACAGTAGTCATCAAAACTTACAGCTTCAAAGAATTAATTTTTCTTCCATGCTTAAAGGATAAGATATTCTGGGCAAATATCAGTGTTTTTAATCTACTGAAAATGTCTCATATGAAGTAGAATAGTATGTTTTATTATGTTCCAGGAGGAAATGACATATTTATTAAATAAGCCCTTTGCTTTCTCTTTCATAGATTGATGCCTCATCATTTACGTTGACGTTCTTTGGTCAAGGATATAGCCAAGGCGTTAGTACTGATAAGAACAAACCAAATATCAGAATTTGTACTCAGGTGAAAGGACCAGGTATTCACATATAACTTAAGAATGCTTGGGAGTTTTATATTGCCTTAAGCTATAAAGTCAGGTGCTATTACAATATATTCTTTTTGAAGCTTGATTTTTTAGAAATACATTTGCACAAATTATTTAAGTAATTTAAAAGTATACTGTCGAAGGATTGAAATTATTCATATAATCCAATTTTATTAGCACATTCTTCCCTCTGGTTTTCTTTTTCAGTATAATTCAATAATTCAGAATGGCAAATTTTAATTAGTATTAATAAGAAAAGGGGCTGGTTGATATTTACCTATTTCAGACTCATACACAAGCAGTATAATTATAACATCAGTCAAATCTGTGGTCTGCCTCTAAGGTTTCTTTTGAGTCTCTGAACATTCCGGCATTGTTTAGAAGATGGATGTACACACATGTATTTTTCAAGGGAGGGTAATGTAATGGCTTTTGATAGATGGTTAAAAGGATGCATTGCCCAAAAAAGTTTAAGAGCTTTCACTATAAATTTTAGAGAACTATACAGAGACAGGCCCACTTGAGAATTAGAGTAAAATTATAAGTTTAATTACATTCATCCCTGATAGGTCACAGGAAGTTTTAATCAAGCCACATGGGGATATGTTTGCAACTTGCCTTTTTTTTCCAAATTCCCATCTGACTTTTTAAGATACATGAACTATATTTTTATTATTTGACAGGAATATAAATGCTAATGTCCTAATTGCTGATAGACCTTATAAAAGTTACTAATGTTTAGTCACTTGTTTTTCTTTAATAAATCAAGAGGTTTTTTAAGTATGTGGATGCAGATAGGGATCATCTTAGTGTATTAATAGAGAAACAAAAATACTACAATCATTGGCTTCAATTATTGTCAAGAAGCTGCCTACAGTATTCAGTACAGTAACATGCTGTATAGGTAAAAAAAAAATTATAAAAAGAAATAAATTTTAAAAAATTAAAAAAAACAAGCACTTCAGTGTAGTGGGTAGAGTATGCACTCTGGCGATAGCTGCCTGGATGGGATTCTGGCTCAGCTACTGTCTAACTTTGTCAGTTTTGACAAGTCAGTCACTTAAACTTTCTATGCTTCGGTTTTCTCATCAATAAAATGGGGATAAAAATATTGTACTAAACTCAATAATTCTTAAGAAAATTGAATTTAATAGGCCGGGCGCTGTGGCTCACGCCTGTAATCCTAGCTCTTGGGAGGCCGAGGCGGGCGGATTGCTCAAGGTCAGGAGTTCAAAACCAGCCTGAGCGAGACCCCGTCTCTACTATAAATAGAAAGAAATTAATTGGCCAACTGATATATATATAAAAAATTAGCCGGGCATGGTGGCGCATGCCTGTAGTCCCAGCTACCCGGGAGGCTGAGGCAGAAGGATCACTCGAGCCCAGGAGTTTGAGGTTGCTGTGAGCTAGGCTGTCGCCACGGCACTCACTCTAGCCTGGGCAACAAAGCGAGACTCTGTCTCAAAAAAAAAAATAAAATAAAAAAAAAAAAAAATTGAATTTAATAGATTTAAAGCATTTAGTATAGTTCCTAACACTTTATAAGTACTGTATAAATATTGTTATTTTTGTTATTAAGTCACCAGAGTATCTATTGCAAAAATTCTGTATGTCTAGAGTTAGATATGAAATCTACTATCTGATTTTTGGGTGTTATTGAAGGCATACTTCATGAATACTTTTTCCTTGATCAACCATTTTCTGCAGAGGCTGGCTATGTGGCTACACCCATAGCTATGGTTCAGGCAGCCATGACACTGCTAAATGATGTCTCTGATCTTCCTAAGGCGTAAGTTTGGTTTTCTTTTCATTGGAAGACATCCTTTTTTACCTATGTTACATTTTAGCTGATCTTGATTTGATTTTCAGGTTTGAGTCTGCATGTAAGTATCTAGTTCAGTTCCTTTGATCCAAAGATATAGATAAATTAAAGCTGTGAGGACAGTTTCTTAGCAGCCTTTGGGAACAACTGTGGAGGTAAATGAGGGAAGACAGGAAAGTTTGGGAGACATGTTAAGTTAGCTCCAGTTCTTTATAAAAATAGCTCAAGTCCAGAATCAGCCACTCAGAGAAAGTCCGTGTTGTTAAATAGTATTAACAGGAGCTGCTAATCAGCGCTGAACTATACCAACTAGCAGTGGGAGCCTGGCCTGACACCAAGCATGAATTGAATCATGGGATTCTGGCTATGTAATCATCAAATGTACTATCTTATTGGAATATTTAGCTGTTACCCTAAAACTAGGCCAACTTTACAAACGAAGATAGGCCTGCAGCTGGGAAGTAAATCAGGCATAACCTAAAACAATATTAAATAATAAAAATAAATTTGTATATAGTAAAACATAATTAAATTTTTTCAAATACTCATGTACCCTTTGAAAATATTTAACATTTTACAAATGTTAGCTATTGTATTTAAAAAAACTTTTCATCCAGTTTAAGTCCTGTTTACACTTTAATAATAATTGATTGCCTAAATTTATCCTATTCAGATCTTTTTTTAATCCTCCTGAGTCTGAGGACTATCTTCATAAATAGCAGTTATTCAGGTTGATGATGCTCGGTATGCTCCTTGAACACACGGTAGCATGGAAATAATCTCACTGGGAGCTGAGCCAATCTAGATGGGATTGGTTGTTGTACTACTTATTCCTGAATAACAGCTACTTGTTCATTTGGCTGATTTTAGGAATGAAACCCAAAGTAGCCATGATAGTATCAAGACTCAGGTTTTCATGAGTTCTACAGTGATTTGATAGCTAGTACTACAGAACAGAGGGCTGGAGAGGACCTGTGTGAACTGTTTTCTCTTGTTATTGTTTTACAGGGGAGGGGTCTTCACACCTGGAGCAGCTTTCTCCAAAACAAAGTTGATTGACAGACTCAACAAACATGGCATTGAATTTAGTGTCATTAGCAGCTCTGAAGTCTAAACATTTGAAGAATTAACTGAAGTCGTAAAGTGCATGAATTAACAGCTTCTGTGTTTGATATTTGAAATACTTCTATAAGCCTGTCTGACTATATATGGAAAAGATTGTCAAATCTAAAATATCTACACATTAAAAGCAGGAAATTATACTAGCTTACCCTAAATTTCACATCTCAGCTGATTTTGTGATTTTATTGCTTGTAAGAGAGAACTAATATTTGACTTTTTCACCAAAATGTTCCTTGAAAATTTTTATGAATGAGCTGGCAGGTCTGATGGTGGAGGAAGTGTCCCTATCTTTGTTGTTAACAGCATTCCTCAATGAAGGTGCCAGGACTGGCATTCATTTAGGACAGTAATTGCTGCTTTCCTTGCCATGGTATGAATGGAATCTCACCTTCCATTGAGTTTGTCTACATATTGTGTGAGCCTTTGCAAAATGAAACAGCACTTTTTGCTATTTTAGCGTAGTTTTTCATCCATCTACAGTGACTGATTTTGGGCTGTTACCTAAGTTGTATAGTTGTATAATAAAGGGTTGTCAATTGAATGGTGGTTTTGTGTTTGGACCTGCCTATGTATTTGTGTAGTGGTAGAAATGTGCTGCTGAAGTGGTCTGACCTGTTTACTACAAATAATTGGGCTTGTTATTCTTTCTTTCCCTGGCTCTATACCTGTGATTAGTTTTAAGGATAGAGTTTGTAAGATTCTATTGATTTTTCACTGCCTAAGCAGAATTTTTCTTTTTGTATTTTAACTAGGTTTTCCACTGAAGCCCTAAAATAAAGCAAAGTACTTTTCCTTTTGTAATAAGCACATAATAAACATAGTGTTCGTGTTGTTCATTACCTAAAGAAGACATCCCTTTATGGAATTTCTACTTAGAGATGAGAAGCATAACATATTTAAGAATATTATTTGTGTTGGGAGACCATTCTGTGCTGCCTGTACAGGAGAAGGAGGGTATCTAACTTGAAGAGGGAGATTGTTGGCGGTAGTACTGCTCTCCCTAACTTTGCTTCCTCTGCCCTCACCTGGTCATCACAAGATAGGGATTTTAGTCTCAGCTCTGCCCTAACTTGTGGGACATTAGAAAAGGTTTTATCAGCTCTAAAATTAGAAAGCTGTACAGGAGGCCAGGCACAGTGGCTCATGCCTATAATCCTAGCACTCTGGGAGGCCAAGGTGGGAGGATTGCTTGAGCTCAGGAGTTTGAGATCAGCCTGAGCAAGAGCAAGACCCCATCTCTACTAAAAATAGAAAAAAAATTGGCCAGGCCTTGTGGTGCACGCCTATAGTCCCAGCTACTTGGGAGACTGCTGAGGTAAGAGGATCACTTAAGCCCAGAAGTTTGAGGTTGCAGCGAGCCACTGCACTCTGCCCAGGGTGACAGAGTAAAACTCTTGTGTCCAAAAAAAAAGAAAGAAAACTGTATAGGAGCAATAGATCCCAGGACTAGCTGGTATCAGAATGTCAAAACAACAGTAGGTTCTGAAGTACCCCCAGCAGTTTGTATTCAGGAGATCTGGAGGGCAGTGACTAGGAGTCTATGTTTTAGATCTCCATTTAGAAACCACTGGGTGCAGTTTCATGTTCTGTGTTCTTTCCAGCTTTGCAGTGTATGCAGGCTTGACACTGATCCATGATGGTAGCCGAGTGACCCCATCCTCCAGCTTGAAGTACAAGTGTGTCTCATTCTGATTTTCCTTTTAATCCCCCAAGGTTCCGCCTGTTCTCATTTGCCACAAGTATATGACTCATCTCATGTGAGTAAACTGCAAACTGTCCAATAACTTTGAGGCTCAGTCCAAGAGGTAGAAGCCATCTCTACTTTCAGTGGCCAGACAGAACTGGAAAGTCTGCTCAGCCTCCATTGTTACTGTATGCCACTGACAGAGGCTTTCCAGGATTCCGTGATGCCTTTGCTGACTCTGCTCTGGCTGTTACCATGTGTGCTCCAGACTTGGGCTCCAACATTACAGAGCCCCAAAACATTTTTTTGTTGACGTGTGTATACAGTCAGGACCTGAGCTGCAGGCAAGACCCAAATCTCGCATCCTGATATTAAACAAAAAGTGCCAGATTCCTCAGCCTTACAGAGACTTTTTTGGAGCTCTTATCAGCCTCTCCTGCCAGTAGAGGTTCAGTGTCATCCCATTTGATCTCCCTTAACTTCATATTTTAGGGAGCAGTTTTTGGGGTTGTCATATTTTATTTCCTCCTTGATTTCTTATGCAAATCAGCCCAGCTTCTCCCAGGTACAGTTTGCACAGACAGGCCTCAGGCCATCACAGTGATGTCTGTGGGGTCTAATGTCAACCTCCCTGCTTACAGTGGCCTGGACAAGTCATTCAACCTTTAAAGCCTCAAAATGGAGGAAATAATGGTGCCATACTAATAGAATTATTGTGAGAATTAAATGAGCTAAACTGTTTACATTTAGATTAGTACCTGGCACATGATGCCATTATCACTACTATTGTTATTAGAAGTCTCTCTTTAGCCACAGAAAGTTTCTTTACAGCCCCTCCCAGAGCACTCAGTGTCTGTCAGTCCTTAACTAAGACCCATTAGTCAATTTGTGGAATCAAGATTGGCTTCAAAATAGACTAACTCCTGGCAGATCTCACTAACAATTGTAATCCCTGCACTGAAAAAAAATCCCATAGTACAAGCACTAATGCTGGTCAGCAAATTGAACGTACAGTATTTCAAATAAATCTATGAAAAGAGAAAATAAGTAGAGGTAGAATTCAAACTTGTTTGGAGCAAGAATACAAAATGAAGGGCATGAAGTAACCATCTGGTCTGACTAATAAATTTATCAAAAGAGCTTCATTTGAAATTTTGACCTGTTTACCATAAAAACATTAATGGCAAATGCTTATCAATTCTATGTACCAGGCACTGTTCTAAGTGCTCTATATTCATTTACCATCAGCAAACACTATTATTCCCAGATAACAAATGAGGAAAGAACAGCTTAGGGAAAATCAGTTGCCAAAAATCACACAATTGGTAAGTGATGGATTTAACCAGAATATAACTGCCCCTAGGCAGTCTGATTCCAGAGCTCAGAGTGCTAACCATTCACTTCAGATATCTCCCACCCCACCTTCACCCTGGATATGGATTCATTCTTGATTTAAAATCAAATTGAAGGAGAGTTTTGCTTGAAAATGGCAGAAGAGGTTAAGCCCATTAGCTACACAAATAATCTTCACAACTCAAAGCTGAAATGTTTTCAGTCTTCAGGGGTGTATCCTCACTATTTGACATGCAGTAAATATTCTCTTTTCTTTTTTACTATAAGAGCAACATCATTTTTCAGTCTCCACAAGCTGGATTCAAGTAGGTTTCCAAAATCCTTCAACATCTGTGACTGTTGGTGTACAAATGGTCGAAGCATTTGATCGTCTTCCTAAAAAGAAGTGAAAGAAAAAAAATGATAGTAGTAGATAGACCTCATGTCATTAGAGTAAAAAATATTGCGTGTATATGCGTAGAGTGCCCAGTAAGTTTTCCCTCTGGGCTAGAAAACTGCATTTGAAAGTTGCTAGCAGATGCAGTAAGTTACATAGGACAACTTTGTTTCTAAAAGGTTGCCTGAATGGCCCTTTAGTTACTGCCAATAAGGAAAACTGGTGAGATAATCCAAATATTTCAGACTGGAATGTTATATAGTCTTCTAATACTGGAGAGGTTCTGAGGTCTGCAAAGGAAACATGGGGTATGGAGATTACCCCCATTGGTGGGGTTTCCCCCCCATTGGTGGGGTTTTGCTGATGCATCCCTGCCCCATGAGAGCAGGTCCCTCTGAGAAGGGATTTGAGATGGGTTTGGGCCAGAGTGCCAGTGACAAATGGTGGAGGAGGTGGTGACAGTGTTGCGAATGGTGATGGCAGAGGGCAGATAGTGTGACATTTAGAGTCTCGCTATGTTTCCCAGGCTGGTCTTGAACTCCTGAGCTCAAGTGATGCTCCTGCCTCAACCTCCCAAAGTGCTGGGATTACAGGTGTGAGCCACCATACATGACCCAGCCCTCCAATCCTTACACTTTGTATATCTTGCCTTACTGCACTGGCTATTACCTAAAGGACAGAAATGAAGTCAGCTGGCATCCAGTAATCTAATGTGACGAGTTATGTTTGGTTTTATAATGATAAACCAAATTTGCATTTCTGGGATATTCTGTATATTGTATTGTAAAGTGAATGGATATCAATGCTGCAATGGCCATGGCTGCCTGGGACCAGCTAGATGTGCACTAAAATAAAAAGGCCCGAGCAGAGATGGTTAGAGAGCAGTAGACTCACACTTCTAAGGCTTCAACTTGCTCTTTTGCTTAAATACATACATCTCCAAGCTCAGGAAATGCAGTCATATAAATATATAAATTTAATAGATATTCCTTTTGCTCCCAGGATTCTGGTTACTTACAGGAGGTTTATACTGTCTCAGTCTGAGAAACTGCCCTCTTGCTGTGTTCATGCCTTGGTAAAACACCTTAAGAGCCTTGGCAAATTCTCTGTCGCAGCTGGCTTGCTGAGTGCACATTTGATTAATCTCCATGGCTGGTGGCAGTCGTGCTGTCATCCCAGTTATCTTCAGGGTATCAGAAGGCTTATGGGCTGAAGTGAAAAGAAAAGGTAACATTTATTTATTCATCTATTTCTTTACGCATCTCTATATTTATTTATTTAGGTGGCATTCTACTATGTCAGCATTTATCAGGTACCAATTTGAACCCATCCAAAGAAATCTCAACTGGACTGGAAAGAAGAAAAAAAAGTGTCTTACATTTTTGTTTATGAAACCAGATATGAATTAACTCATTCTTTCTTATAAAGACAAATATGCATCCCAAATGTAGGAATCTGGGGATAAGCTAAACAACCAAGACTTGAACAATCTCTCACCTTGTGGACCAGAACCAAGTTTTGCAAGTGATTCTTTGAGAAACACGTTTTCCTCTCTCAGAGCTCTGTTAATGTTTCTGAGCAGTTCTGTCTCCTGCTCTAACTTGTGCAGCTTCAGATAAAGTTCTGATGTCTGGTTTGATGTAGTCTACAAAAAACATGTCAGTTAAGCCTGTTGCTGGGTTATCTTTGAGACTGGCAATGTTTACTACCACGTGAAAACCAAATGGAATTCTTGGGGGTAGGAGGGCTGGTGAGCAGGGTTTAAGCCCCTCAGGGTATGCAGGAGTGTATCAAACAACTTTTGTTAAGGGGAAGGAAGATTAATAATCCTCAGGCAGCCATCATCTGAGATTTTCTAGTCACCTGTGATGCCCATTTGAATGTCACATGAACACACCTGGCTTGTATCCTTCATGGTGGAAATTTTCTTGGCGTCCACCACGATATGACCTTCACCTGTGACCATGAGGTCTGGCTGAGTGCAGCTCAGCTCAGCACAGCCTTCTGTAGTATGGGAGAAACACGTCAAGGAAAGAAATGTCTCAGTTGTCCAGCCCCTGTGTTGTGTGAGGAGATATTCCAGGCGTCTTCAAACTACGGCCCAAGGGCCACATACGGGCTGCCTAGCACATTTATCCATCCCTCTGGGTGTTTTTGCTGCCACTGCCTGTCCTGCTTAGCAGCTGACTCATCCTGGGCCCACAGTGTGCACTCTGCAACAGTCTGAGGGACAGTGAACTGGCCCCGTTTAAAAAGTTTGAGAACCCCTGTATTAAACTATGCAATCACCTGGGGTAGAAGGCAGGGGACAAGATGGCTCTTGCCCACTGCTGTCAGGACCCTGGCCACCTCCTTCCTCTACCTCTCCTGCAGCCCTAACTGTACTGACATTATATCTGATTGAAGAATGTACTGTGCAAAAGAATTAAGTAAACAAAGTACCTTGAAGGCCCCATAAATCAACAATGAGAGCATTTGTCTGCAAATAATTCAGAAACTCCTGAGATGCATTTAAGGTTGCAAATTGGATAGTCTCTTCAATTTGGGGGTTCACAATTTTCCACACAGGTTTTGTATATATAGTGTTTGGAAGGTCATAAATTCTGTACCTGAGAAAAGGACATAAAACAGTTTAAAACCAGAAAAGGATCAGATGAGCCAAAGATTTGCAGCACATGGATGGATTAGATGAAAGATGACCTATAATTGATTCTCATGATTGTTGCTGTCTGCACCTCCGTCATCTCAGTTATTCAACATGGGTAGCATCACTGTATGGATAGCAGTAAATGTCTAACAAAAAGGGGGAAGATCTTGGTAAATTATTTCTACTTAATCTAAAATTGCACATTTTCCATGTGAGATGGTTGGTTGTTGTCCTTCAGTCTTTCTTCTCTTACTGCCTTATCTTTTAACATTCTTTTAGCCTAATTAGTTTAAGCATAGCTGGCGCTTCTGCCACATCATAATACTGTCCTTTTGTTTCCAACTAAAACAAAAGCAAAAGCTATTTTACTTAGATAAAACAGTTTTGCTGGATTTTCTTTCTTTTCTTTTCTTTTCTTTTTTTTTTTGACAAAGTCTCACTCTGTTGCCCTGGCTAGAGTGCTGTGGCATCCGCCTAGCTCACAGCAACCTCAAACTCCTGGGCTCAGGGAGCAATCCTTCTGCCTCAGCCTCCCAGGTAGCTGGGACTACAGGCATGCACCACCATGGCTGGCTAATTTTTTCTATATATTTTCAGTTGGCCAATTGATTTCTTTCTATTTTTAGTAGAGACGGGGGTCTCACTCTTGCTCATGCTGGTCTCGAACTCCTGACCTTGAGTGATCCTCCCACCTCAGCCTCCCAGAGTGCTAGGATTACAGGCGTGAGCCACTGCGCCCAGCCTGGATATTCTTTCTGATAATTAAAATGTCTAAGCCTACTGCTTCATCACATAAAAAGTTCAGTGCACACTGACCACACAGCCCAGTGACCTGGAGAGATGTGTGGCTTCCCTATTAAATAGATGGGGGAAATAGTCATTTTGGAGTTGAACAAAGAAACTTAAGAAAATTTCCTGATAAACTAATTTCTAAAACTCGAGGGAAGATTGGACTGCCTCCCACCAGGGCTACGAGCAGTGGTGTGCAGAGCAGTTCGGTGGGGCAGGCTGGTACCCTGTCTGAATGCCCCGCCTTGCTCCTTCCTTTAGCCACTTGACGCCAAGGCACTGGACAATGCAAATCTGGAAATCGATCCTCTTGCCCAGCATCTCCAGAGGGTCAATAACCACGTCCTCGTCACCATATGCTCTGCAAACACAATAGGTGAACATTGACCTCAGGTTAGACTGGGTCCAAGCAAGTTAGGATTGTGATTTCAAGGGAATTAAATGGAATCCTTCAGAGGTAGCTAATTTCACCAAAGGAAGGATAGGCAATATCACCAGCTGTGGCATACATTCATTGAGGAGACACTTAACATGAGAGCCCTCTCTACACTGGCACCTCAAGGTAAGGTCTGGACCTTCTCAAGCAGCTCACAGCCTGGTGGAAAAGAATATAAATAGCTCCATGTGATAAGTGCACGCAGATGTGGATACTAAAGTCACACTGAAGATTTTGATAGGTCCCCAGTCGGACAGAAGGGAAAGCCAGCTGGCTGCCCAGATGCTGCCTCTCAAGCTGTCATTTTCCTTGGTGAATTATTTACAGTCCAGAGTCAACACCAGGCCTACAAGCTCAGAAACTGATTTGAACAGCTTTCTAACAGGGGAACTCTCATGTCAACCAAACTCACAGTCTGAAACTTACAGTCTGCTGCCTTATTAATCTGCAATGGGAGATATAATGTCAGGCAGCCAAATGACCAGGAAGTTGCTTAGAGGCCCAATGAGGACAGTGACTTGTTGGGTAGCTTGTTCTCTTGGTCACAGAAGCTTGGCCTTCTCTTACTCCCCTCTGGAGCTAGTGTCCTCTTTGGAAAGACAAATGGGTTGCATTGGGAGCCTAGGAGGGCCCTGGCACCCAGACCAGGGCCCCTGCCAGCCTCTTTGCTTTGGATTGCTAAAAGACTTTAGCTTTTGTAAAAACTGCCCATGGCCTGAAGAGGAAAAACAAATGAGCTATCCTGAGAGGAGGTGAAAGGTAATGAGGCAGGCTTTAGACAGGACTGATCACTCAAAACAAACCCTGTGTCCACAGAAAGGTCACTGACAGCACAGAATGAGGTCAGACATCTCTGTAAATGGCCAGGCCTGTACAAAGGATGGAGAAGGGGTGAGCTAGAAAATCAGTGTTCTACTCCTGGCTCATAGGAAAAGCATTGTACATGTGGCCAGGAGGAGGCTGGGGGTGGGAAGGCCCTACAATGCCCTTGGCTTCTCTCTTCTGAGGGTTCATTGTTTGGAACTAACCTAGCTCTTTTGGCTCTTGTTCAAGGCTCTTTCTACTACACCTGCCTCTTTGTGGGATGGCAGGGTAGGACCTCATTCCTTGGGTCCCCCAGGGCAGTGCTGAGCTGTCTCGAATGTGGTTGGGCATTTCAGGTCAGCTGATTTGGCTGTCATGGCAAAAAATCAGATTTGATGAGGCCAAATCATGAATGAATGAGTTCATTCATTGGTCTTATGAATAACCACTTCAGGGTACCAAGTTGACTACCCCCTCAAGAGAACTCAGGCTTGCTCTGAATTTTCTATGTGTGACTGGCCCAGAGCTGGGCAAGGGGAGGAAGGAGACACCCACTGTCCTGTCGGGGAGCAGGGGGTGATGGAGACGTGCAACACGGCCTCCTCCAGCCCCTCACAGTCCAGAAACGCCACTTGCTCCTCAAGCTTCATGCAATAGGCAAGTGGATGGAGCCAGATGTGAGCTGAGCCCAAGTGGATGACCTCGACAGGATCCCAGAACGGGTCGTCTTCTTGAGCCACGTGGCTGTCTTCTCCATCTAGAAAGCGCTGGTAAAGTTCCTCCATTAGGAATTTCCTATTGATAAACTTGGCTTTTGACCAAATCCACACCTGGAAACACAGAGTAGGTCACCAATATTTGATTTCATCTGCTGCTCTTCACAGTTTGATTCTTCCCAGCATGCTCTGTGTGTGGGTTTTGGGTACCCATGACCACATACCACTCTCATCAAACTTAGCTTTACTGGGGTCCTTCAAGAGTCCCATATTCATTCCTGGACCCATTACTTCAGCATTGCTTGAGTTTGTTGAACCAGAAATGACTTAGAGGAGATGATGCAGGAGTTAGAAACAGACCTTACCAGAAGAAATGAAGGTTTTAAGCTTGTGGTGTGCAGAATGGCCATCAAAGATGTCCATGTCCTAATCCTCAAAACCTGTGAATATGTCACCTTACATGGCAAAGGGGAATTAAGGTTGCAGATGGAATTAAATTTGCTCATCAGCTGACCTTAAAATAAGGAGAGTAGCCTGGATTATCCAGGTGGGCCCGATGTAATTACAAGGGCCGTAGATGTGAAAGAGGGAAGCAGAAGAAAGAAAAAGATGTGACGATAAAAAAAGGGTCAGAGAGGTACCAGGTGGCTGGCTTCAGGATGAAGGAAGGTGGCCTCTAACAACTGGAAAGGGCCAGGAAATAGATTGTCTTCTTGAGCCACCAGAAAGCAGAACAGCTGTGTTGACACCTTGCTTTTAGCCCAGTGAGACTCATGTTGGATTTCCCACTTACAGAACTATAAGGTAGTAAGTTTGTGCCATTTAATGAGTGTGGTATGTGCTACAGCAGCAATAGAAGACAATACAGGGGTAGTTAGCCTGGAGGAAAGCTGAGAAGTGGCTCCACCACGATGATCAGATTGCGTGCAGACACGTGCAGGAGACACTCCTCACAGCCCTGCTGGGCAGACATGGTGGCATTCTTAGCTCCACTTTGCAGAGACCCAAAGAGGTCACATTCCTTGTTCAGGGGCTCACTCCACTGGGCAGCAAATCTAGGACAAGAGCCTGCTACTGTCTGCCTCTTTACTGGGCGAGCACACAGTCTCTGTCAACAGTGGCTGCCAAGAAGGGACAAAACCTTAACCTGCTGTATGAGGGTTTCCAGTTAGAAAATTCCTTGACCATAAATGTCATAGCCTAAGTGGTTACCAGGTCAAACTAGCAATTCCTTTTCTGGGCAACTTGGAAAACAAAAACCAACAGATAAGTCATTCTCTCTCTGTGTTATGTATCTTTATTAAAAGGACATTCTCAAAACTCTAAAAACAGATTTCATTCTTTTTCTGTTGGCATCAATTAAAGTGAAAAAACACAGTACTCCTCTGGCAGAGGCAGCGTAAAGGTTAAACGTGATCATGGCTGTGGAACGTATTGTGGTAGCACCGAACAACAGGAATTAAAGACCTAGGCTAGGTGTAGTGCCTCATGCCTGTAATCCCAATGATTCAGGGGGCTGTGGCAGGAGGGTCACTTGAGCCCAGGAGTTCAAGACCAGCCTGTGAATAACACCAAGAACCCATCTCTTAAAAAAAACAAAAAATTAGCTGGGTGTGGTGGCGCATGCCTGTTATCCCAGCTACTATACCCTCCCGCTGAGGTGGGAGGCTTGCTTGAGCCTAGGAGTTGGAGATTACCATGAGCTATGATCATGCCACTGCACTCCAGGCTGGGTGACAGAGTGAGACACTGTCTTTAAAAAAGAGAGGGAAAAGGCCGGGCGCTGTGGCTCACGCCTGTAATCCTAGCTCTTGGGAGGCCGAGGCGGGCGGATTGCTCAAGGTCAGGAGTTCAAAACCAGCCTGAGCAAGAGCGAGACCCCGTCTCTACTATAAATAGAAAGAAATTAATTGGCCAACTGATATATATATAAAAAATTAGCCGGGCATGGTGGCGCATGCCTGTAGTCCCAGCTACCCGGGAGGCTGAGGCAGAAGGATCACTCGAGCCCAGGAGTTTGAGGTTGCTGTGAGCTAGGCTGTCGCCACGGCACTCACTCTAGCCTGGGCAACAAAGCGAGACTCTGTCTCAAAAAAAAAAAAAAAAAAAAAGAGAGGGAAAAAAAAAGACTTTAGGGAACTAAAATCATGGGAATCATGATAATGAAATGACTTCACTGCCTCACTACCTGTGGATATCAGGCCACAGGCCCGGTATGAGTTAAACTTGGATGCCGTCCTTAATCTGAGGAGGACACAAGCCAGTGAGGCTCAGGGACAGGCTGGGACACCTGTGCTGACCCCCTCCCAGGTGGACCCTGCAGGCCTGGCTCAGTGTTCCCTGGCTGCATGAGCCACCCACCCAGCCAACATGTTGGGCAAGCACTGCTGAAGGGGCTCTGCGAGCTGCCAGCATTTCCAGTTCAGAAAACCCTGTCTGCCCCTCACACAGCCCTGGCTTGCTCCTGCACTTGTTCTTGACATGACTCTAGCAGGTGCACAAAACTGCACGTGGACACTGTCTCCTCCCCAAGAGCTTCAGCAGCATCCACAGTCCCCGAGGTCAGTGCGGTGTACATTTACAAGATCAACCACCAAAGGAGCAGCAATCTGCACCCACTGCTGCCCTCTGCCTGTCCTGTCTTTTAGCCTTCGGAAGCGTGTGCTTATGCATGCACACACACACCCCACACTCTCGCATGCATACACACTCACACATACGACAGTCCAAGAAACTACCAAAAGTCACTACCAGCCTTTCAGAGGCCTCCTGAGGAAGGTGGGGCTTCATTTGAGGAAAGGTGACTGGAACTAATCTTATTTTTTTAATGTATAAATGGACAACCTTGAAGATGACAAATTGGTAAGACTCACCTCTGCATGAGAAAAAAAATTGTCATATAATTCCAATAAAAGAGAACCCCGTGTGGCTTATGCAGAGCGTTCCTGTCAGAGAGTTATCTGTGCATGTGACAGGACGTTGGGTTGAAGGAAAAGGACAGCATCTCAAAGTGTATCCAGACCCTCAGCCCCCTCCCCAAAACACACTTAATGATAAATGCAAAAATGGTACCTGACGTCCTATCTCTGGTAATGGCAGGCTGATACTAACTTCTGGTAGTTTCTTGGAATGTGGTGTATGTGAGTGTGTGTGCTCCCGTGTTCAGGTAACCCTCCTGGGACCAACAATATAAAAGGCTAAAATGTTTTCCTTTTTTTTTTTTTTGAGACAGATTCTCACTCTGTTGCCCTGGCTAGAGTGCGTGGAGTCAGCCTAGCTCACAGCAACCTCAAACTCCTGGGCTCAAGCCATCCTCCTGCCTCAGCCTCCCGAGTAGCTGGGACTACAGGCTCGTGCCACCATGCCCGGCTAATTTTTTTCTATATATCTTTAGTTGGCCAATTAATTTCTTTCTATTTTTTTTTTTTTTAAAGCTAGTCAAGCGTGGTTGTGGGGGGAGACAATGTTAAATCAGCTTAACAATAACCCACAACCCTCGGACCAACTTAATTTCTTTCTATTTATAGAGATGGGTCTTACTCTTGCTCAGGCTGGTTTTGAACTCCTGACCTTGAGCGATTCTCCCGCCTCGGCCTCCCAAAGTGCTAGGATTACAGTCATGAGCCACCGCGCCCGGCCTTAAAATGTTTTTCAAATCATCTTAGACTATATATATAAATATATATATGACAGAATAACATGGAAATAATTTTTTAAATTACAAATTTTCTTAAAACAAGGTGTGACAAGACAGTAGGAAACTGCCAAACCAAATTCTGAGGGAAAAGCCTGGCGTGGGAGAGGCCTGTGGCGCACTGCAGCACCAAAGCGGCTTTGCCCTAACCGTGTCGCCGGGGAAAACAAAACCCAAACGCACAAGCACCCTGAGGTTCACCCCGCCAGGCCCCGGGGACGCGGCCTACAAGTCCAGGCGGACTCCCAGGGCGGGGTGGCCGGGCCTGCGTGGTGAGTGTGCGGAGAGCCGGCACCGAACGAACGTGCCTCCGGGACAGGGAAGGGCTGAGGAGCTGGGGCCCTCGCCCGGGTTTTGTCCCCCGACGCTCCCGGCGGGCTGCGGCGGCCCGGCACCTGGGGGTGCGACCCTGTGGATGGGGCGGGGGCACTCAGTGTTTGCAGCATAACACGAATGCCTCTGTTATACGCCGCAATTTTTTAAAGTTTTAAAACTGGTCTAGACTCAGAACATTCTGGCAACTTTGAGGCAAAAAGCAGAAAAGTGACACCCAGAGCAGTCCCAGCTGCCGAGCGGGTGCGGTGCGCGCCCGCAGCCCGGCGGAAGTGAGCTGGGCTGGGGCCGGAAGCCCGAGGGCTGTCCGCCGCGTGCGTGCGCCAGGAATGCGACCAGACAGGCCGCCGTTTTCCACTTGCTCCTCTGAAGGCAGAGGGAGAGGAAGCAGGGTCTTGAGTCCCTGGAAAGGAGCTTCACGACAGCGAGCGAGGTCAAATGTGGGAGCGGGCGAAACGCCTGTCTGGGGTCTGGCTAAAGCGCGGGTTTTCTCGCTGCTGCAGAACCGCGGGTCTCACGCACGCGCACACCGCGCGCGGGCACCGCCACCGGCTGCGTAACCCTCGGGCTCCCTGCTGGGACGAAAGCCTGTGAGGCAAGCTAAACATGCATGGGAGGACGCAGGACGTGGCGCTGTGTGGGCGAGACCCAGGAGAAGGAACACGCGCGAGGGCCCTGGTCTCCCGGAGTCCGTGCCCAGAGCCCGGCGCAGACCCGCCCCGCGTCTGCCCCTTGCCTGCGTCTCCAGAGGCTGCAGCCGGTAAAAGTAACCCGGGTCCCTAGGAAAGCTCCTCAGAAACGCCTTGTGGAGCCTCACCTGGTGAGTCCTTTGGTTGGTCAGCTTCACCATGACCTCTTTTTGTAGGTCATAACCCCTGGAATCTGATGATGCTAAGTTCTTCACCTTCAATTCCATTTTAAGTCCCTGGAAAAGGAAGCACTTCTCACTAAATAACCCTACATTTATCAGCCCATACCACCTTTGCCATTTGTTTTTCATCCTCCCCACACCCAGGCTTTCTAAAAGAAGACAGTCCAACTCTCGTTCCTTGGATTTCCCACTGTGGGAAATGACAGAGCACCATAATTTCTGCATTATAGCCTGGAACTAACACGTGTAGTCCTGCCAAAGTGATTAAATCTCTCATGAGGTTCCTATTGACTGGGATCCCATGTTGCAGGGAGCTAAGCCCAGCCCGGGTCTCCGTGGCATAGCAGCCATCACGGTGCCTGGACCTGGAGCGGCCCCAGGATGACCTGGGGTGGCGTGGTTATGGCCAGCAGGCACTGGCCTGGGGTCCGGGCGGCCCTGGTAGGCCAGCGGTGGGAGGACTGGTGGTGGGGCTGGCTGTGCCGGCCGGGCGTCAGTCTAGGCCTGTTGCCAGCTCGCTGTGAGATCTTGGAAAAGCACCTCATCTCTCCATGCCACGAGGTCCTTTCTGTGCCTGCCATTATACCCTTTCCTGCCTCTAGATAAATTACCTTCTTCAGCTCTTCACTCATTTGATTTGCTTCTGCAACTAGGGGCATCAGTTTGATGTAGTCCTGGAACACAGCCAGGACGCTGGGGTCTGCCTTGCGGTCTCCACTGTTTGTGGCGCCTGGAGACAATCAGAATAGAAGGGGAAGTCAGTCACATGTGCTACTGTGAATACATTTATATGCTCATTCATTCCTTCAGTTCATCAAATACCTACATTTAAAAATTCCAAGCATGTAATAAAAAAAATAACCAAATGGGTTGGGGGAAAGACACTGCCTGGCTTCTCCTTAAGTAGTTGCTCATCTCAACCCTGGAACTGTGCACATCACGCTCTCTGCCTCTGGTTTCTGTTCTTGGTCTCAGAGTCCTTGAGCCAAGGTGGCTCTGAGCTGTCCAGCCGAGGTAAGATCTCCTTGGCCAGAAAGACGGGCTGCGGGTGTATCCCGAAGCCGCTGCTGGTATATAAGGTCCCTGTTCTTACTTTTAGCATACCTGGGGGGGCTCGGAGGAGGGATCTTGGGGATCCCGGGAGGACCAGTCTCCCTCCCTCCCAGCTGGCACCACCTGTCATCAGGAGCTCTCAACTCCTTAGGGACCCCTGGTGCCCTTGGCCCTGAGGTCTGACCCCAAACCGCCCACACAGCTGCTGCCTTGTTGAGGGCCCAAGTCTTCACTAGCACCTGTGCCAGGGTCTGGGGGTCTTCACTGGGATCTGGCCGGCGGTGCAGCCCACTGCTGTGAGTTAGTAAGTGAGCAGGTGGGGTAGCCGCCTTTGGTGCCACAGAGTCCTGGTGGTTTGCTTTTGGTCAAGAACTTCAGCAGATGAAGAGCAAGAAGGTGAATTTCAAGTCAGTTTATTTTGCTAAAATTCTGAGAAACGCACATTGGCCGAGGGAAAAGAGAGGAACTCATGTGTGCATGCGGATGCATCTCATTGCTCTGCACCTGCAGTTTCATTAGGGCGAGTTCAGGTGGGGTCCACAGGCCGAGCAAGGTGGAGATGCCCCCCCCAGGAAGCCAGCAGGGCACGGAGAACTCAGCGCCCTCCAGCCTAACCTGTTCTGGGGGAGCCCACCCTGGCGAGGGCAGGTGCTCAAAAGCTTCTGAAAGTTCTTGCCTACCAGGAGTCCCGGATTACTGCCAGGGTGGAGAGTTGGTTGAGGGGAGATGGGGGGCGACCTTTGACTCAGACACCTAGGGCCGTTAGTTCTGAGGGACAGGGCCTGGATTTTGCTCCTCACCTGACCTCCCGCCCAGAGCAGGTTCCTGGGTGGCATGTCCAGCTGGGGGGCCACAGGCTCTGATCCCCTGGGCGTGGAAGCCCTGGATTGGCTTTACCGGACAGCAGTCTGAGCTGAGCCTCTTTCCCCATTCGCCGGGTACCACGCCCTCTGCCCCTTTGAACCATCTTAGCCTTCATTGTGAGGGAAACGGTTTAATGAGTTAATTCTTTGAAGTGTACTCACTATATTTGTATGGAAATCATATTTCAACTATCTAAACATGGTCCTTTGACACAATGAAAGAGGATTTTCTTAGGGAAAGCAGAGAGCACGCAGTGAGAGCAGTTACTTTCAGACCAGCCCGGGAAGGGGCCACTCACGGAGCTTGTCCACGCTCACTCCCTCCGCCGCCGCTCTCTCCAGCTGGAAGAAGTCGTAGTCAAACCTGCTCAAGTCCTCGCTGCCTCGCTCCGAAGGAAACCCCACGTAGAGGTAGGCGCTGTTGGATCCCAAAATAATGCGGTCCTGGGGGGAGGTCAGTGTGACCAGAGGACAGAGAGGTCAGTGGAGGCTGCTGGAGGGGCGGCTCTCACATGAACCTCCCTTCTTGTTTCTGGGGTGGGACCTGGGGAGTCCTGTGGCCCGGCGGGAAGGCTTACCAAATGCTGCAGCTTTGTCTTGGTCGCAATGGGCACCCCGTTAACGACAACCTTGCATTTGCCGTGTGGAGTGACCATCACTTTACCATCCGAATTTGTGAAGGAAGCATGTTTATCTGAAATTCTAAGAAGACAAGAGTTTGTCTAAATCACCCAATACATTACGATTGTGCACAAGACGACAGATAGCTGCTGAAGAATGGCACAAGGCGTCTGCCAGGGCCCCATGTGCTGTGGCTCTCGGTGAGTGGAGACAGCAGTGGGTGCGGAAGTAACCTGCCCTTAAGGAGCACAGGGAATTGGGAGTTGGCAAAGCAATTGTTCCTCACTAGAGCAAACACCAGTTGGGTGGCTACAGCTGCAGATGCAGAGATCGTAGCTGGAGTCCTGAAAAGGCCAGTGGGATGGGACGATGACAACAAAGATGCTTCAGAAGAGATACATGGAAGGTGGCTTCATAACAAGCCTTGCATACTACAGGTGAGTTTAGATCTCTTTCTGGGTCTTTATCTACACACATCCAGGCTTTATATGTTGCAAGATTTGGAGCTGGCTGTCAGAGGTGTCAGGTTGTCTGCCACCCAGCATTAGAGAATTGTGACCACTCAATCCAGAGGAGAGTCGCAAAAGTCATCTGGCCGTGGACAGGCCGGGCCGCAGAGACTGCAGGACAAGCCGGAGCAGGGAACTTCCCAGACAGCCCCAGCCACGGCTAACCTAAGAGCTGTGGGAGGGCTTTGATCCTCTGGCTGAAACCCACTGTGCTGTGCTTGATTTGTTTCCTTGGCTATAACCTTTGGAACAAAAGGGAATTCTGTTTCTAGATTCTGTAGGATAATCCCTCACTAGATGACCATTCCTAGAAACTTACCCCAAACCTTGAATAGTGATAGCATTGGAGGTGGCCTGACCAACATCACATGAACCTGAAAAGAATTAGGACAATTTATTTTCAAAGATGTTTAGGATTTGACCTTAATAAGTTAACATGTCTGATGTTTGGAAAATGACATTGTGTTTCCCATGGATCATGTGAAGGGAGTTTCCAACTGGGACTTTATTTTTAGAGATAAGAGTCTTGCTCTGTCACCCAGGCTGGAGTGCAGTGGCCTAATGACAACTCACTGCATCCTGGGTGAGGATCAAGCGATCCTCCTAGCTCAGCCTCCTGAGTGGTTGGAACTATAGGTGTACACTGCCATGACCAACTAATTAAAACAAAATTTTTTTCTAGAAATGGGGTCTCACTATGTTGCCCAGGCTGGTCTTAACTTTCTGCGCTCAAGTGATCCTCTCAGCCTCCCAAAGTGCTGGGATTATAGGTGTGAGCCACTGCACCCAGCCCCACCTGGGATTTCCAGTCTTAATGGTACTTGGACATGATCTTGCTTTATGGATAATTTGTTTTACTTTCTGCTTTTTTGTTTGTGGGATTCCTAACTTTTAAAAATTCTACCTTTTTCATAGGCATTCTGGAGATAGAAACCATTAGGCCTAGAGCTTAGGAGTCATGCTGAAGACTGGCCACAGGACAGGTTCTGTCTTCGAAGTGCTGTTTCTGTCCAGTGTGTGAACTGGCGGAGTGCCGGGCACAGCACTGCCAGCCCCTGGCGCCTCCCCCACCCCACTGCCATCTGCAAGGAGCCCTCGCCTGTCCCGGTGTGCATGGCGGCTTCGGGGGAAAGCCAGGGGCTCCCGCAACGCTGGCTGCTGTGTCCCAACACATTCAGTGTTCCTTTAGGTCAAGAAGACATTTCAAGGACTCATTCCCGCCTTAGAAACCACTGAACAAAAATGTGTTACTAAGACCCATGCCTGGATAATGAATAAAATGTGGTGTAGACATACAATGGAGTATTTTTTAGCCTTAAAAGGAAGGACATCCTGCCACATGGATGAACCTTGAACACTTTGTGCTACGTGAAATCAGTCAAACACGAAAAGACACGTGCTGTAAGATCTCACTTGGGAGAAGTCCGCAGAGTCATCGCGTTCATAGGGACAGAGAGTAGAGCGGCGGTTGCCAGAGGCTGCGGAGGGGAGATGGGCAGCTAGTGTTCAGGGGCGCAGAGTTCCAGTTTGGGAGATGAAAAAGTTCTGGAGATGGAAGGTGCTGATGGCTGCACAACAGCGTGCACTCAAAAATAGTTAAAATGGTGAATTTTGTTATGCATGTTTTACTACAATAAAAAAAGTTAGAAAAGAAACGTGTCCGTAGGGCAGGAAGCATAAGCAGGACCAGAGTGAGTCAGGAGAGGCGAGTACCAGGCCGAATGAAGTACTTGAGGACGCCCGTGAGCTGCGGGTCCTCGTTGACGTTGAGCAGGTGAGGAAAGGTCTTCACCATCCGCCGCTCCTGCAGGAGAGATGGGGAGGCCCCGTCACCAGGCAGGGCCGCCCGTGTACGAGAGCAGGGCTCCTTCCCACCTGTGTCTCGGCACAGCTGCGTCTCTGTGCACCTCGGCACAGTGACGGGCAGCAGGGTGGCGGGGGGTCCTCGGGCAGGCCAGCTGTCAGAGGCTGAGAACCTCTGGCCAGGACTGTTCCAGGCCACAGCCAGTCTCCAGCCCTGGCCTCCCCAGCTGTCCCCTGTCCTCCCCAGCTGTCTGCCTGCCCCACTCTGCCCCCCCACCCCCGTAGCCCCTCCCCAGGTCTCCATTAAAGCCCTCATTCTCCAGTGTCCTGCCGGCCGGCCACTGAGAGTCAGACGCTGAGGGCTTATGTTGCATTAGCCTTCTCCTGGTCACCTCAACGTGTTTCATTCTTTAATGCAAAGATTGGTCGGGACTGTGGTTATAGAGAATGGGTGGTCAAGCAAAACTGGAATACATTATTGCAGGCATGAGGAAAACTTTTAAATCTTGAAATCTTTTTTTTTTTTTTTTGAGACAGGGTATTGCTCTGTTGCCCAGGTCAGAATGCAGTGGTGTTATCATAGCTCACTGCAACCTCCAAATCCTGGGCTCGAGGGATCCTGCCTCAGTCAGCCCCTTGAGTAGCTGGGACTACAGGTGAATGCCACCACACTCAGCTAATTTTTGTATTTTTTTTTTTTTTTGGTAGAGATGAGATCTCAGTCTTGCTCAGGCTAGTCTCAAACTTCTAGCCTCAAGAGATCCTTCTGCCTTAGCCTCCCAAAGTGCTGGAATTACAGGTGTGAGCCACTGTGCCTGGCTTTGAAATCCTTTCTAATAAAGAGTAGAGAGGACAAAAAACCTAAATCCTGTATTCCTGCACTGTGACTCCACTTGCCCCTACCAGCTGAGAGTTGCAAACCCAGCCTACCCTAAAGATGATGTGACTTTAACAGCACTTTTGCTGTATCCCGTCATGCCCACACCCTTAGAACTTCTGCCCCTAGCTCCACCTGGCCCTCCTGAAGCCACCAAACCCACCTAGCTCTACCCCCACCGCCCCAGGCTGCACAAGCCTTCCAGGATCCCAAACTCCCAGGAGCTCCAGGTCTGCGCCCCATGGGGATCAGCCCGGAGCCTCGTGGCCGTGGGGGTGGGGGGAGAGGAGGGGCTGAGTGTGGCACGGGGAGGTAGTGAGAGCTCCCTCACCCCCAAAGTCACATCCCAGCCCATTTGTGACCTGATATTAGCAGTGAGTGCCAGAATAGATACTGTCCCCACAGTCCCCAGGAGATAACTCTGGTCCCTCCAACACTCCCCAAACTAATTACCAACAGCCTTGAGTTCCATCCACAGCCTCACTGTGTATGCGCTGAGTGAGTGCATGCACCCACTGCCTCCCTCTCACCCCCTGCCATTCTCCCCCCAGCTCTGCCAGTAACATTGTTGTAAGTCCTTTATCACATGTCACCTATTACACATTCGCTGAGAAAACCTCCTCCCGATCAGGGGCCGGGCAGCAGTGTGCATCAGGCGTGGTAGCAGGTGCTCTGCCTGGGTGGTAGCCCTGGGTGCAAGGAGCAGAGCTCACCTGGGCCAGGGCCTCGTACTGCTGCTCCCAGGCCTCCCAGGCCTGCTCCAGCAGGTGTGCCCAGGTCACCTGCTTAGCACGAGTCCCGAGCTGCTGTTCTGCCAGGAGATAGGCTGGCTGCTCTGGAAGGAGGGAGGATCTTAAGCAACAGGCCTGCAGCCTCAGAGGTCAGACACAGGATGAGTCTCATCTTGGTTCTCAGTCAAAACGTGGGACTCCCAGCAGGAGCCGACATCAAACTGCACTTACCTGTGAAGAGATCTTTTGGTAAGACGTTCAAAGAGTAGCATCACCTGCTAATTCATAAGACGTTACAGCACAAGAAGCTCCTTTAAAGGGGGAGGCATGAAGCTCAGTATTGTGTTTTTTTTTTTAAGGTGTGTGAGAGTGTTTCAATTTATGCCATCATTACAGGCCATTCCCATAAGGCCAGGGGATTCGGGAAGAATCATGGATTTATCTATCGTTTTCACGTTGTCTGTGCCTGTGCTTGTGAACACTGGGAGTTAGGTGCTATATGTAAGTGAACGTCGGGACTTGGCAGTTTTTGGTGTGAGAGATCTGTGACAGCCAGAGCAGCAGCTGGGCAGTCACATGTGCTGACTCTAAGAAGTGCTTTGTGGAGGCTGAAGCATCAGCGGGTCAGGCCGTGGTGCCCAGAGATGTGCTGCAGGCTGTCCTGCCTGTGTCTGACCGGCCATCCTTCCAGGTGGGCCGGGGTGCAGGAAGCGCTGCCACTGCCCGAGAGCCCCTAGAGCAAGGGCCGCCTTGGTGAGCTGTACAATTATTTCATTATATGTTGCAATGTAATAACAGTAGAAATAAGTGCACAATAAATGTAACATGCTTGAATCATCCTGAAACCATCCGCCCATGCCCCCACCCCCGGTCCATGGAAAAATTGTCTTCCGTGAAAATGGTCTCTGGTGCCAAATAGTTGGGGACCGCTGCCCTAGAGCGAGGGCGCCTGCTGGGGCAGGGGAATTGGCGCCAAGGGCAGGACGGCAACTGACGCTGGACCTTTCGATGTTGCTGTCTTGACGCCGAACACTCATATTGATTTTATTTCAACAGTTTTATATTTTCCCTTTTTCTTCCATCTCATTTTGAATCATTAATGGAAATAAAATGGGAAATATCGTTATGCTGCCAAACTGAAACCTGAGAGGCCTTAACTTAAAGCCGTGGCTCACGATCACTATGCATGAGGGTCACCTGGGCCACTTCAATGGCTGAGGCCCAAGGTGCTGATTTATTAGGGCTGGGGGGAGCCCAGTCGCCAGGTGGCTCTGACGCACGGCCGCCCGGCTGCCTGGCCGGTGGAGTTGGGCTGACGCTCCCAGCGCCACTTAGCTCATGACACCCTCGCAGGATAAACGTCAGATGGCATCGGCCAAATCCGCAGGAAAAACTAATCCTGGTAGAAACGATGTCCTCAAAATAGAAATGGCAATAAAAAATGAGACTAAAATGATCATTTTAAAAGGAGAGGGCCAATTTTCTTAACCGCAAGTGAGTCTACATTTATCTCAAAGTTGTTTTTTTTCAAGGACAGAGCCAGGTTTCTTGGACAAAGCCCCAGCCACGCCACAGCCCAACCCCTCCTGCTTCCCTGGGCTCCCATCACTGACCCGGCCCCTGCCTGGGCTTGGCCAGATGAGACCCTTCTGCCTGCTCCAGGCTTGGACTCATCACTGACTCCTGACTCGGTTTACCTGCCATTCCAGAGTTTCTGCATCTGAGCGGCAGCTTGTTCTCTGCCCTCCACTGTCTCATCAGCGCCTGGGTGTTGACCACTGCTCTGTTCCGGATCTTTTTAGCCCTTTCATGTGCAAAGATGGACACGCTGTCAGGCCTGGGCCGCTTGCAGTTGGAGCAGCAGCAACAGGCATGCTCAGATCTCAAACAGCCCAGAGGAGCCTTTCACCGCCCCATGGGTGACTCGCATCCACCATGCCCGGTTCCACTAAACCCTTAAGACCAAAGTGACTGCAATAACCTACACAGTTCAAATAAATGTGTGCAGCTCAGCCAGGGCCAGGACTCAGCCCCTGCTGCGCCTGGGGCCTGTTGGCACTCAGCCAGTTGGGCCGACTGGTTCGTTCAAGCATCTGTCTGTCCAGTCACTGCTGCTGCAACAACTCCAATCCTGGCGCCGGCAGCGACTGCTCCGCCATGTGCACCAGCCTGGAAGGGCCTTAGAGATTGTCTAGGTTGCTCCCAGGGTCACCAGGGAAAACATGGGGCTCTCCCAATATTGCACAGGACATACCCTAAAACATTACTTGTTTTTTATCTGAAATTCAGATTAACTGAGTATCTTGTCTTCTTATTTGCTAAATCTGGTTGCCTTATTCCGTTCACTTCACATAGGGGAGATTGACTCAGAGTCTACAAGCCTGGCCCATGGTATCATTTTTTCTCTTTCTTACACATCACACAGTTTTCTCTCATGGAAAAACCACTAGCAACAGATTTACATCTAGTAAGTAGGGAGGAAACAAACACTTTAGATACTGCTAAAATGACCTAAAGATCTGCGCCTATGTCACAGGTGCTGGAAGAAAATGTCTAATGGTATGAAATGGTCTTGAAGCTGTGCAGTGGGAGTGAGAAGGGACGTATCTGTCACCGGCGTGCAAGGGCTCCCTCGCCGAGGACAGGGCCCGAGGAGAGAGCAGAAGGGGAGGCAGTTGCGTCACAGCCCTGGTTTTCAAGCACCACCGTCTGCCAAGCAGAGCTCTGCCAAGGCTGTGAATCAGGAACCCCGTTCAGTGAACGAGGTGACAGAGCATTAGAGGCGCGGTGTCTCGCCCGGGGTCACGCAGCTTCTAGGGCCAGAGTCTGTCTGACCGGCAAGTCCACAGATCTGACAAGTGGCATATCAGGGCTGGCAAGTGTCTCATTTCACATGCCACCTCCAGCTCCCAGAACGCAGGGCTGAGAACCCCAAGCTCCCATCTGCACCCTATGGGACAGTGGCGGTGATTCTGTCTGGGAAATGGGCATAGAGGCAGCAGCATGTGGGAAAGTTCCAACCCAGGGCCAGAGACTGCCCCCCGCGCCCCTCTTCCTTCTTAAAAGGTCGGGAGCAGCAGGCCAGGAATGCTCTGCAGGGACCTGCCTTGAGAAGCAGGGATGTGGCTCAGTGACAGCCTCTGGCCAGTGCCGGCTACAGGCGGGCCAGACCCTCAGGCGTGAGAATACTAGAAGAGTCTGCCAGACCTAGAACTTAGAACCGCTATGGATAATAAATATTCATAAACGTACCTTTCAGCATATCTTAATGTTGATAACGTTTCCTCGTAGCAGATGTCAGCTGGACTTATGGCGGCTATCTGTAAAAACAGCCCTTTCAGATTTTGTTTTTACAGAGGGGTTTCTTGTTGTAATTAAAACAGCTAATACTCATAGAGCAGTCTTACATCTTATGATTCATGGTATTGTTCAAACTTTACAACTTAGAAAACTAAGCTTAGAGAAAAGTAATATGCCCAAGTTTGCCCACACAATAACCTACGGAGCTGGGGCTTGAACCAGCCCTGCCTAACTCTAATCCCTGTACTGCCAACCTCAGTGTGAGGCACCCTCGGGATTGAGTCCTCAGCGGGCTTTCCCAGGGATTGGAGCGAGTGTTGGCGGGAGTGTTAGCATCGCAGAGACCGATGCAACGTGCTCATTCCCAGGTGGCCACTGGTATGGCTTCAAGTCTGGCTACTGACTTTGGACCAATTGTTCCAGAATCCGGAAAGCAAACTTTTCAAATCAGAAACAGACTGTTGGATGACTTGGAGCTGGGCAGGATTCCTGAGGGTGACCAGGGGAGGTGACGTGGCAACTGCCCATATAAAGCCTGTGGACCAGGAGGCTCAGGGCATTGATAGCTTAGGCAATAATTATTTATAGTTTAACTTTCCAGCTTTTAATGCTTGTTCATTTATATTGCCTCATTTAATCATCATAGAAATATTTTCAAGTGGATACTATCTTTACTTTAGAAATGACGAAGATGAGGTTTTAAGGTATCTGTGCTGAAGCTGGGACTGGTGCTGTAGAGACCTGGCCTCGTGACTGGGCCTGGCGGAGCCTCTGTTGCATTTCTTTCCTGAGGTGGCCAGTCGCCCCCACCTGCTCCCCGCCACGTCTGTGTTTGCTGGCGCGCTGTGCTGCCTTCAGTAGCCCCCGTCAGGTCTTACGGATCAGGGGTCACCTGTGGTCTCGGGGACTGTGCACACGTGCTAAGACCGTCAGGGTTCACTGTGCATTCCGACGTCAGGAGGGCATCTTTGCCTTCTTTTATTCCAGGTTCTTGGGGAATATTGCGTTGTGGCCCACAGGTAACTGACAACCCAAAAAACTTTAAAATGAAATATTTAAAAATAGGCAAGATTTTGCCAAATGTTTAGAGGCAAAAAAAATAAAATTAAATTTAAAAAAAATAGGCAAGATTAAATGACTAAGAGCAAGGACGTGTTTTCCTGTGAATTCTGGAGAGAGGTGCACAGGTGACGGGGCCCTGCAGGGAGCATTTCCCTCCTAACCAGGACAGCAGACTGGAGCCAGGGCAGGGCCGGGGCGGGGCTCGCCCAGCTCGGCCCTCCCTGCGCGCAGCTAAAGCCCAGGCGCGGCGCCCTGCTCTTAGCACAGCCCCTGCTGCGCCCACTTGGCAAACGTTGAAAATGAGAGTCCAGCGTCTTTGCTGAGAGGACACGATTCAGCTGCTCCCCAGGCTGAACCTCTGCCTGTCCCTACCACACTCACACTGTTTTGCCGCCTCGCCATGGTGTGACTGCTCATTTACAATAACGTGACATTGGGAGTGTTATTTTTTAAATGGTGCTTGTTTTTTTCTGATAATAAAAGTAATATATATTCCTTGTAGAGAATCTGAAAACTACAGAAAAGAATAAGTAAAAAAATTAGAACTATAGAAACATTATTTGAACATTGTAACAGAAAGAGCACCAGGAATCCAGAGATAATATGCAAGAACATGCTACGGCAAAAGCGCTATATTACGAGTGTATTAAGAATAATTTTAATCACAATAACAAAAATAACAGTACTGATAGCTCGGTCAGTCTGAAATGTTGTAAGAATGTCACTTTACCAAGGCAGTCCTGCTGTTGCCACCCAGAGCTGACTGGAGCAGTTTGGTCAGGACCGAATCTCTGTAGGGAACGTGCAAGACTCTCTTCCCCATGGCTGCATCGGCCAGAGCGCTGGATGAAAAAGAAAATACAAAACAACAAATTAAAAGAGTGCATCAAGAAACCTTACCATTACATAGAATATGTACAAGAAAAACGAACACCAAAAAATGCAAAAAACAAATAAAAATTTTAAAAAAGAAGAAATATGCCTCCCCGGGATAAGTTGAAAACAGCTCTCAAATCCCGTTTGCTCCCCCCCCACCTGATGATAATACCCCCTAGCAGAGACTGGGTGCGAAGACTGAAGCAAGACAGCTAACCGCGGGCCACCGACTCCCCCTGCAAAATCAGGTCCGAGAGACGTTGCAGAGCGGGGAAGCCGGATCCGAGGGAGCCGGCCGAGATGCAGACTGCGGCGCATCGGCGTGCAGAAGGGGCTGCGGTCCGGGAAGGGAGGCAGTGCTGGCCCAAGGGAGGGGGAAGCAGGGAGGATCTCGTCTGTCAGAAATTACAATCGCAAGCAGAGGAAAGACATCTATAATGTTCATCTGGCAGATTTGGAAAAGAAACAGCGATCTTTTAGAAAAGAAGAAATACAATCATTGAAATTAGAAACACCACAGATAGGTTTAACAGCAAATTGGACAGCAGAATTAGGGAATTAGATAGTTCAGAAGGAATTATCCAGATTGCAGCCCAGAAAAGTGAGAAAGGTTAAAAGACACAGAGAACAGAGTTAGAAGGTCCAAGCAGTCGAAGTCCTAGAAAAGAAGAAGGAAAAAATTGGGCAGAGGCGACATGTAAGAAATAATGGCTGAGAATTTTCCAGAACTGATGAAAATCACTAATCCACACAGCTATGAAGGCCAAGGAATTCCAAGGAGGATAAATAGAAATAAGTTAACACTCAAAAACATAGTGAAATTGGGCAACACCAAAAACAAAGAGAGGGGCTTAAAGCAGCCAGGAGAAAAGATTATTGTCAAGGAAACAGAAACTGGCCAGGCGCTGTGGCTCACGCCTGTGATCCTAGCACTCTGGGAGGCCGAGGTGGGAGAAGTGCTTGAGCTCGGGAGTTTGAGACCAGCATGAGCAAGAGTGAGACCCCACCTCTATTAAAAATAGAAAGAACTTAGCTGGAAACTAAAAATACATGGAAAAAATTAGCTGGGCACACTCCTGTAGTCCCAGCTACTTGGGAGGCTGAGGCAGAAGGATCGCTTGAGCCCAGGAGTTGGAAGTTGCTCTGAGCTAGGCTGATGCCACAGCACTCTAGCCCTGGCAACAAAGTGAGACTCTGTCTCAAAAAAAATAAAAAAAAAAAGAAAACAGAAACTGAGTTTGCCTTCAGCAGGTCATCACTAAAGGAATTCCAGAGTATGCTTCAACCAGAAGGAAACTAATCATGGATAGCAGCTCTGAGGTACAAGAATGAATAAATTCTTTAAAAAATGTGAATGAATACTGTGTAAAATAGTATTAATAATATGTCTTTTGGTGTTAAAGAAGAATAGCATTGAACTACCTGACAATTACATGTGTAGGATGGAAATCTCACATTATTCAGGAGGAGGATAAATTATTATATTTAGACTTTGACCACGGATTAAAAACTAAGAAACAGAGTCAAGCCTATATTGAATTTTGATATATGACAGAGGTGGCATAGAAGATCACTGGGAAAGGAGGGACTATTCAACAAACAGAACTGGGAAACTTGGAAATCTATAAGGAAAAAGAATGAAAAAAATGCCTACCTAACACTACACAAAAGAAATAAACTTCAAATGGGTAGGAACTTACATGTAATACAGGCAGATATCTTTCTGACTCTAATTTTGTTAGGACACAAGAAAACAAAACAAACCACAACCATAAACTCTGCTCAATAGACCCCTTAAGGCAAAAAGACAAGCTACTAACTGGGAAAAGATATTTACACTATAAGTGGCTGAGAAAAGAATAACAAAAAATATGTGAAGAATGCCTATGAATCAATAAAGATGATACATATATAGAAAATGGAAAAACATAAGAACAGGCATTTCAAGAGGAAACGTATTGCTAACAAATATATCAAGAGATGCTTAAACTTGTTCATAACCAGAAATATCAAGACCATAGTAAAATTCATTTATTTATACCAATTTAATTGGTAAATATCACAAAATTTAAGAATACCAAGTCTTAGAAAAGATGTGGATCAATGTGATAACTTATACATTTCTGCTGGGAATATAAACTGGTCCAACCACTTTGGAAAACAATTTATCATCATCTTGCAAAATTAGTTATCCACATATTTTATAACCCAACAGTTTCAGTTCTTTGTCTATACTCAAACTTAAATATAGTTATGTGCAGCATAATGACATTTTGGTCGATAATGCACCACATACACAACTGTATTTCTACTGTACTTTTGCTACATTTAGATATGTTTAGATAAACAAATAGCACTGTGTTATAATTGCCTGCAATATCAGTATAGTAACATGCTGTATAGGTTTGTAGCCTAGCAGCAATAGGCCATGCCACATGGCCTATGTGTGTAGTAGACTATACCATCTAGGTTTGTGTAAGTCACTCTATGATATTTGCACAATGATGCAATCACTTAACTTACATAGATATACACATATACAAACATTCATGGAGTTGGACATTAATGATTTGTGCACTTTAATTTATACTTTAATAGGAAAGTTTTAAAAAGTCAGTCCCAGAAGACATTATAGTACTTTACTCTTTTTATAAAGTTCCAAAATGAGTGCCACTAAATAATATTCACATGTGATAAAACAGGAAAGGAGGAAGGAGGGGGGCAGTAGAGAGAACATAAAATTCAGGACGGTAGTTACCTCCCAGGGGAGGACAGGGGAGGAATACCCACCAATTCTTGGTTTGGGTGGTGGTTTTATTAGGGTTATTTAAAAATTAATTAGTTTAACATCTAACCTGTAAGGATGCCATTAGACTAAAGGTAAAGGGGTGGAGACAATATTTCAAGCAAACGGAAGCCAAAAGAAAACTGGCGTGGTGGTGCTGATTACAGATAACTTAGTCTTTAAATCAACAAAAGTAATAAAAGACAAAGAAGGTCACTATATAATGGTGAAGGGTACATTTCAACAAGAAGACATAACAATTCTAAATATATATGCACCCAACCTTGGTGCACCCAGATTCATAAATCAAACTCTACTAGATCTAAACAAATGGATAAACAACAACACCATAATAGTCAGAGACTTTAACACCCCACTGACAGCACAGGACAGATCCTCCAAACAGAAAATCAACAAAGAAATAATGGACTTAAACAGAACTCTAGGCCAAATGGGCCTGACTGACATTTACAGGACATTCTACCCCCAAACCACTGAATATACATTCTTCTCATCAGTTCATGGGTCATTCTCTAAGATTGACCATATCCTAGGACACAAAGAACGTCTCAAACAATTAAAAAAAATAGAAATTATACCATGTATCTTTTCAGACCACAATGGAATAAAGGTAGAAATCAATCCTAACAGCAGTCCTCATTTCTACACAAAGTCATTCTGCTGAATGATCACTTCATAAATGAGGAAATCAAGATGCAAATCAAAAGATTCTTTGAATTAAACAACAAAGGTGACACAAGTTACCAAAACCTGTGGAACACAGCTAAAGGAGTCCTGAGAAGAAAGTTTATTTCCATAAATGCCTATATCCAAAGGTCAAAAAGATCACAAATAGACAACCTAATGAATCGTCTCAAAGAGCTGGAAAAAGAAGAACAGACCAACCCCAACCCCAGCAGAAGAAGTGAAATCATTTAGACCAAATGAGAACTAAATGAAATTGACAACAGGGAAACTATATGGAGGAATAATGAAACAAAAAGTTGGTTCTTTGAAAAAATAAACAAAACTGACATACCATTGGCTATACTAACAAAAAGCAGAAAAGAAAAATCTCTAATAAGCTCCATCAGGAACAATAAAGGAGAAATTACAATGGATGACACGGAGATACAAGATATAATTTATGAATACTACAAAAACCTCTATGCACACAAACTGGAAAATATGGAGGAAATGGACAATTTCTTAGAAACACACAGCCTCCCTAGGCTCACCCAGGAAAAAATAGAATTCCCCAACAGACCAATATCAACTACTGAAATTGAAACAGCAATAAAAAACCTTCCTAAAAAGAAAAGTCCTGGACAAGATGGTTTCACACCCGAATTTTACCACACCTACAAAGAAGAACTGGTGCCTATCCTGCAGAAATTATTCCATAACATCGAGAAGGATGGAATTCTCCCCAACACATTTTATGAAGCGAACATAACCCTGATACCAAAACCAGGAAAGGATGCAACAAAAAAAGAAAACTACAGACCAATATCCCTTATGAATGTAGATGCAAAAATTCTCAACAAAATCCAAGCAGTCGAATCCAGGTGCTTGTCAAGAAAATAATCCATCACAACCAAGTGGGCTTCATCCCAGGGATGCAGGGATGGTTCAACATACACAAATCTATAAATGTAATTCACCATATAAACAGAAGCAAAAACAAAGAACATACGAGCCGCTCAATAGATGCAAAGAAAGCATTTGACAAAATTCAACACCCTTTTATGATAAGAACACTCAACAAAATAGGCATAGAAGGGGCTTACCTAAAAGTGACACAAGCCATATATGGCAAACCCGCAGTGAATATCATACTGAATGGGGAAAAATTGAAAGCATTCCCACTTAGAACTGGAACAAGACAAGGTTGCCCACTATCTCCACTTCTATTCAACATAGTGCTGGAAGTCCTCGCTACAGCAATCAGACAAGAGAGTGGAATTAAGGGCGTCCAAATGGGAGCAGAAGAGATCAAACTCTCACTCTTTGCTAATGACATGATCTTATACCTAGAAAACCCCAAGGATTCACCCATGAGACTCCTTGATCTGATAAATGAATTTGATAAAGTCTCAGGATACAGAATCAATACACAGAAATCAGAGGCATTCATATATGCCAACAACAGTCAAAGTGAGAACCAAATCAAAGACTCAATTCCCTTCAAAATAGCAACAAAGAATAAAGTACCTAGGAATATATTTAACTAAGGAGGTAAAAGACCTCTACAAGGAGAACTATGAAACACTGAATAAGGAAATAGCAGAGGACGTAAACAGATGGAAGAATGGGTCATGGGTCGGCAGAATCAACATTGTTAAAATGTCTATACTACCCAAAGTGACCTACAGAGTCAATGCAATCCCTATCAAAATACAACCATCATTTTTCACAGATATAGAAAAAATAATTTTACACTTTGTATGGAACCAGAGAAGACCCCATATAGCAAAATCAATCCTAGGCAATAAAAACAAAATAGGAGGTATCAATTTACCAGACTTCAAACTATACAAGGCTATATTCATTAAAACAGCTTGGGACTGGCACAAGAACAGGGACATTGACCAGTGGAACAGAACAGAGTACTCAGATATAAAACCATCCTCATATAGCCAACTAATCTTCGACAAAGCAGACAAAAACACACACTGGAGAAAAGAATCCTTATTCAATAAATGGTGCTGGGAAAACTGGATAGACACATGTAGAAGACTGAAACAGGAACCACACCTTTCACCTCTCATGAAATCAATTCGTGCTGGGTAACAGACTTGAACATTAGGTGTGAAACTATTAGAATTCTAGAGGAAAACCTTGGAAGTACTCTTCTAGACATTGGCCTAGGCGAAGAAGACTCCAAGGCAATCCCAACAGCAACAAAAATAAACAAATGGGACCTGATCAAATTTAAAAACTTCCACACAGCCACAGAAACTGTCAAGAGAGCAAACAGACAACCCACAGAATGGGAGAAAATTTTTGCAAGCTACACATCTGATAAAGGGCTGATAACTAGAATTTATTTAGAACTCAGGAAAATCAGCAAGAAAAAAATCAAACAACCCTATCAAAAAATGGGCAAAGGACATGAACAGAAACTTCTCAAAAGAAGACAGAATAATGGCCAACAAATATGAAAAAATGCTCAACATCTCTAATCATCAGAGAAATGCAAATCTAAACCACAATGAGATATCACTTTACTCCAGTGAGAATGGCATCTATCAAAAAGTCCCCAAACAACAAATGCTGGGATGGATGTGGAGAGAGAGGAACACTCCTACACTGCTGGTGGGACTGCAAACTAGTTCAACCTCTGTGGAAAGCATTATGGAGATTCCTCAAAGCAATACAAGTAGATCTACCATTTGATCCAGCAATTCCACTACTGGGCATCTACCCAAAATATCAAAAGTCACTTTATGAAAAAGACACCTGCACTTGAATGTTTATAGCAGCACAATTCACAATTGCAAAGCTGTGGAAACGACCCAAGTGTCCATCAATTCATGAGTGGATTAATAAAATGTGGTATATGTATACCATGGAGTACTACTCAGCTTTAAGAAACAATGGTGATATAGCACCTCTCATATATTCCTGGATGGAGCTGGATGGAACCCATTCTACTAAGTGAAGTATCTCAAGAATGGAAAAACAAGCACCACATGTACTCACCAGCAAATTGGTATTAATGGATCAACACCTAAGTGGACATAGAGGAGTAACATTTATTGGGTGTTGGGAGGGTGGGAGGGGGGAGGAGGGGATGGGTATATACAACCACAACGAGTAAGATGTGCAACAGTTGGGGGATGGACACGCTTGAAACTCTTACTCGAGGGGGGAGGGGGGCATGGGCAATATATGTAACCTTAACACTTGTACCCCCATAATACGCTAAAATAAAAAAAAATAAAAATAATAATAATAAAATAAAATAAGAATTGAAAAAAATAAATAAAAATTAATTAGTTTAAAATATATAGTAGGGCCAGGAATAAGCCAAGGATGGCAGTGGATCATAAACTAAAGGTTATAATTAATCTAATTTTTAATATTTGAGGTCATTTTTATGGCATACATACCTGACTGATGATTATTTACCTGATAACATTTCCCAAATTGGTTAAACTTAAGTTAACTCGTGATCCTTCCCTCAATCTGTCTCCTTCGGATCCTGAAGATTTCTGCCTTTCACTTCCTGCTAGATCCACCAAATTAATACTGGATTGTTTGGTGAGGTCTCGGTCTGGGAAAAGCTGCAGAAAAGCACCACAGGTCACCCTGCGTGACTGGGGAGGTGGCAGGCAGCACATAAAGTCACTCCAGTTTGCATGTTCAAATGGTTCTTCTAATTACATTTCTGACTCAAAAAAGACAGTAAACTCTACAGTGTAAAATGCCATCTTCTTTACAATGACATTTTACAAAAATGCATTAGCAGACCCATCAAGTTTCCCCTTCCCGATTCTGCAAAGCTCTTTTCCAATGAAATATGAAATGCCAGTTATTGCTCCTGCATTTCTATGGCTAATAAACTTTTAAAATATAAGGTACTGTGAAATGTGCAACATAAGTAACAATTCAGGATTGTGTGGTCCTGTAGTGGAAAGAACACGAGTTTTAGAATCTTACGGACCCCCTTGCTGGCTATGCGACTACAAATGACTTGATTTTTCAGAGTTTCAGCTTTCTCCGTTGTAAATGGTGACAGGAACACACTGTCGAGATGTGATGAAAGTTAAAGATAAAAGATGTAATGACTCTAACACATGCCTGGCACGCAGTCTCAGGTGTTAACATTACTGCTGACCCCAGTAGACAGGGTATGGTACTAAATCTCTTCACTCCAGTTGATTTCCTGTCTGCTCCTAAAATATTCAGTTAAAAAAATTAGAAGGGCAAACCATATATAATGTTTATGAATTTTACTAACAATGTAAAGCCAGGTGAATGGCACTTAAAAGTTTACAAAGCTCTTTAAAATCCAGCATCTTAAAAAAAAAAATGCAGTGTATTATTGAAGCCTCCTTTTACAGATGAGGAAGCTCAGACTCAGGGAGATAAAGTTATTTCCCAAAGTTTTAGAGCTGGTAAACATGACATCAGACTTAAATCCAGTCCAGTGTTTTCCCACCATTCTTGGTTATAGTGGGATAATTTTTATTGATTGCTATTCTATTACTAGTTCTATGACTTAGAGGACAGAAGCAGTAAGATCACAGCTAACTATAACATTTACCCAGGACTTGTGAACAGGCATTTCTAGATCACACTGGTGATATTGTATAGATCACTCTCTGGTATCCACCAAGGAGCATGGAGGAAAAAGTATGCTCTAGTTTATCAAAGATTCTAGGTAGTGGAATGTTATGTAGATTACCTGGTTTCAAAGAATTTATCTTGGTACATCTTCAGTATCTGGTGGTCCCCTGGGCTCGTGGATCTGAAAGGTGGTCACCGTCTTGGTGGTACACAGACCCGCTACCAATCTAATTCTCCGTGATAAACCATGGAGTCACTCTCAGACCTTCACGATTTTCTCCTTGATTAACGTGGAGTCAAAGTCCACTTCTCAGAGAATGGAATTTGAGGGAGAACAGCCTTTAGTCCTGTGGGCACTTTGGGGACATGGTAGCCCATACTGCCACGCTAGTATTAGCTGGGGCGTGAATGTTGAGGTAGGAAGGGGGCAGAAAAAGTGCATGTGCTTCACTTTTTCCTGCTTCTGCCCCTATACTCCATGGTTGGAAGAGCCATCTGAATTCATAGGTCAAATCTGCAAGGATTCCATAATCCCCACCAGCCCATTATGCCATCATGTGGAAGGAACCTTCTGCAGACCAGCCTGTCAGGACATCAGGACAGTGGCATTCACCTGGATCTCACCTGCTTGAACTGAATGGTGATGACCATGTGGGACCGGCTGCTGCTGACATTCATGTTGGTGGAAGCTGTGGTCCTTATTTTTGTTCCTTGTTCCATCAGCCTTTCAATTTGTGCGTAGTTCTCACAAGGCACTGACGTCAGACCTTCCACGTAAAAGCCCCGCTGCTGATCTTCCCTTACTTTGAGCCCACCAGGTTTTTTGATTCCAGACAGCAAATCTCTAATCTGTGGAAAAAAGAGTAAATAACGTAAACTTCAAGAAGGCAGGGAATTTTGCTTACCTCGTTGCTGCTGTATCTCTGCCTACAACGTAGCAGGTGTTCAATAACTATTCATTGGATGAATAAATAGTACATTTCTATAGGGACTCCATAATTCAGCTAAGTAAGAAGTAGGGAAATAGCAAGAAAAAAGATAGAGAATCCTGTTGGAATTATTGACAGAAGCATATTTAAAATGTTTTAAAACTTATTTTTAGAAATGCAGTTTTATTGTTTTCAGATACGTATCTAGAGCTCTCCAATAAGATTGAATTCCCCATGGGTGGGGTCCTGCCGTTTTCCTGTAGATCCCAGCACTGACACACAGCATTCGAATGCTTGTTGAGCGCATGGTGTGACTGGAGCTAGGCTAACAAGCCATGTTTAACGCACTGCATGTTGGAGACTAGGGAAACTGCTCTCATAGCATGGTAAAGCATTTGAGTCGTATCCACAGTTGTCTGCCTATAAAATAGGTACTGCAAAGCTTTTGTGCTTGAACACATTGTTCTCTTGTTAACATAAATATTCTCCTACAATCTTGTTAACTCTTATTTCATTAGCAACTCTTTTGTGGATAATATGAAAATAAACCATCCTAGCCTCTTTCTGAATTATCACAAATTTTGTATTGCAAAGTAACAAAGTGGCCAAAACATAGAGTGTAGAGATAGGGGACATAAGATGAAGCTGGAGAGGTAGGTACGGCTGATGGTCAAGGCCAGGGCAAAGTAGGAGAGGTGACTGGGAGTCCCTGATGTTTATTAAGCAGCAGAGTCATTCAAACTTGAGTGTCAGAAAATAAAATCTCTGTTACCTGTTCATTGTAAATTTCCAGCATACTGAATGTAACCTGTATAGAGAAGGACATGAAGTGAATATTCTCTTGAAACAGTCACCTTTGAAAAAACAGTGACATGGAAACAACATAAACGTCAATAAAGGGAAAAGCTAATATTAAATATAGTACAGATCTATTTTAACATGCAATATGAGGTTCTCAAGTAATTTTAATGATGAGGGGGAAGTTCTTAATATAAATTAGATAGGCCGGGCATGGTGGCTCACGCCTGTAATCCTAGCACTCTGGGAGGCCGAAGTGGGTGGATCGCTTGAGGTCAGGAGTTCGAAACCAGCCTGAGCAAGACCACGCCTCTACTAAAAATAGAAAGAAATTAATTGGCCAACTAAAAATATATATACAAAAAATTAGCCGGGCATGGTGTCACATGCCTGTAGTCCCAGCTACTCGGGAGGCTGAGGCAGGAGGATCACTTGAGCCCAGGAGTTTGAGGTTGCTGTGAGCTAGGCTGGAGCCACAGCACTCACTCTAGCCTGGGCAATAAAGCGAGACTCTGTTTCAAAAAAAAAAAAGAAAAAGAAAACCTTAAAGAAGAAGGAAATTCTGATACCTGGTACAATACCGGTGACCCTTGAGGACATCATGCTAAGCAAAATAAGCCAGTCACAATAAGAGAATTACGGTATGATTCCACTTATATGAGGTATCAAAGGTAGTCAAACTCACGCAGACAGAAAATAACAGTAGTTTCCAGGGGCTGAGGGAAGGGAGGAATGGGGAGCTATTATTTCATGGGTACAGAGTTTCAGTATTACAAGATGAAAAGAATTCTCCAGATAGATGGTAGTGATGGCTGCACAACAGTGTGACTGTATTTAATGCCACCAAACTATACTCCTAAAAATGGTTAAGACGGTAAATTTTATGTTATGTGTACTTTATCACAATTTAAAATAATAATAAAAATGTTTAAGCATTCACAACTCAAGTAGTCCAGTGTGTCCTGAGAAGAATAAATAAAAATAAATTCGTATGGTAAAGACATGCCATAATGAAATTATAAGACAACAAAGCAAAGCAAAGAACTTTAACAATAATAAGGGAGAAAAGAAAGATCAATAGAGAATGGAAATCAGACTGACAGCAGACTTCTGGCAA